TCCAAATTAGTCTCTGTACTCCTATGTAATATCACTGGTATCACTCAGAGTCCTTACACTTGGCTCCTCACCCACACATGGCATGTGCAGGAAGCTGGCCATGCGCAGAAGGGTGGTGCAGGAGGATGATAGTGCACACCTTTCACCGGTGATGATTGCCTGGGGTCTACACCTCCACAAGATCTGCCATGGCAGAGTGCTGACCACAGGGACCATCCCGAACTGGGGTTAACAGCTCCTCGATAATATCACAGCTCTCTGCCCCTAGATCTGGGTGCGCTTGTGGGGAGCCTTAGCTCTTTGCATTCACCATTTAAACTGTTGACATTTGCTCTGTTTACCTGCTGTGGTGGGCTTAGAAGTTGAGGTACTGGTAGTAGTCACCGTGGTCGGTATTGTGGTAGTCTTTGCAACTGAAAAACAATACTCAGCTCACTAACAATTCAACAAGACACGGAAGTCACACTATCTTGTATTTCTAACCATGACAATGAAGCTATATGCTCATACCTACAAGTATCCTACACACTTCAGGCATTTCAGAGACTACAAGGGAACTATTCATTTACTTTACTTTAGGCACATATATTTTCAGGATTAGCACTTAGATCTACAGATAAGGGATAATTATAAACTGTACAAGTAAATAAGAACGCATATAGTTTCCCACATTTCTGGCTGAACTATGCATAATGACTTCCACTTTCACCATTTGTTACGGTTGTCAGATTAATTAAATTGAAAGCTTTTTAAGGGTGCTTCACTTCATAAAAACATAAAAACCAGAAAGTACACTCAGCAACACTGGGCACAATCAGCATCATTTGGATGGGTAAGGGCTTCTTATCTTAACAGAAGGGTTCAAGATTAAGTCTTCAACTAAATTACTAAGAATCAAATAAATTTTTTAATTTACACATGAAAAATATAGTTGTTACTTAGCTAAGTCACTATGCATAAAAAGATAATGGATAGAGCAATCTGCCTGAAATGCTGGCCACTGTTTCGATTATAAACTATAAAATATATTGTACGTGATTTTCAAGTTTTATCTTTGTTACTTGTTAATGTCACAGGATGCCTGTGTAAGCTTTTTGGACCACTATTTCAGCCAAGAATGAATTCACCTCTAGTGAGTATAAATTACATAAATAAGAAAGAAAAGGGTACACTGTAAATACCAAACATCTTAAATGAAATTCTTGTAAATTATTTACTTTAAAACATTCAAATCCCCCCAAATCTAATATATCTTCTCATAAGGAACCCTGTTCAAAGACTAAATATGGAAATGTAGGATGGAAGAATATCTACCCAGTCCAAAAGTTATTAATACCACAGCTCAGACAGGGAGCCAAACCATCGTTTTGATTCAGTGCCATCTACCACATAATATTAAATAAGAAAAGCAAAAAATACAGTCAGCAAAGCCCTGGTGCTAAACCACCACATTCTTCAATATTATAGCTACCCAAAGATGGACTATATTTTAAATATAAGATATATGCATTAAATTTAAATCACTTAAACATCTCTAAAAATTACAATCAAGAGTTTGTCTTACATGTAGCTCCAAGAACAGCAACAACTTCACTTTCACTTTCATCATCAAAAACTGCCAGCAAAGAAACTTCATATTCTGTGTTGGGCAACAAATCCTCAATAACATGACTGTCTGTGTCTCCATTTATGACAACCTAAGTAATACAGCAAGATTAAAGAAAATCAGTTCTGCATTTGATTAATGTATATGAATTGACTGAAATGAAAGAAGGAAAATGGATTCTCCTTTAAAATAAATGAAATCTACCCTCAGATCCGCCCAAAGAATTTATTAGCTATGTTGAAATAAAAAGTATCACAGAGTACATCTGGAAAAAACATTGTTAGGTATACTTAAAATGTATTTATTATTTTGTGGCTAGCTTGATTATTCTAATGTGTAGTCTTATACTTTCACCCACAACTAATTAATTGCTAAAGCTGACCATATGCATTTCATTTGAAAATCACTAAAATGCAAAACATTCATCAATGAAAACAACATAACAGGGTAGATTAACTTTCATTCATATTTCTACCATTCAAGCACTGTTATGACAAATGTATTCAGCATCTGCACAGCCTTACAAAATGCTGTTTCTATACCAGAATTATAAAACGAGTTACAGTTCCACACATCTGAATGCAACCTGAACGAACACTTGCTGCAGACTTGGGGATTAGGGGAGATGTGCTGATGAGAAGTTTGCTATATGGTGTGATGTTTTAAATAGTAATTTTCCTTATTTCTACCTATGACAGCAGCAGAACATTCACATGTGCAATCTTAACTGTAAGCAGAAGGTTTCACTTCAGATTTTTGTGAGTTTCATTTATTTTATTGGAAGGGATCAACAAATGGGCAGGAGTTGGAGCTAAACAGACTGTAAAGCAGAATGCAAGGAGCCTGAGCAGTAATTCTAGTGAAATGGGCTGACTGGTTTTGGAAACAGTTTTTAGGTTACGCACACAGATACTACCATAAAACAACCTTTCTCTAGGATAACACTGGCAAGTTTTTAAAGGTGGCCACTGTATACACAGAATAAAAGTAAGACACATAATGGAAATCAAACAATAGATATATGCTGCATAAAATCTACTACAGTAGTTAGCAGAAACAGTGAATCACACTTTATTCTTTTAATTACCACAGGAGATTTCCTGAGTTGGTCCTGGGGAAGAAGAACCCATAAAACAATCACAGACCTTCTGAACTTAGATACAGAAAACAAAAGCAGAAAGAAATGAGTTGGGGCCATGCCTTCTACAACTATCAAATAATGAATTAGGCACCCCAAGCTGCACACTTTCTGGCACAGATTTTCTTGGGAAAATTTCAGAAACAAGCTTGAGTGAATTTAGCTGTATACAAAGTAGGTATAAGTAATACCTTCCTTTCCAGTTCCCCAGAGCCTCTAGTTGTATATCAAATCATTATAAAATATCCATACATAGTTACTATCTTACACATAACTTTGGCATACTCTCTGAAGCATAACTTCGGCATACTCTCTGAAGCATAACTTCGGCATACTCTCTGAAGCATAACTTCCATCACTCTCCACACCCTGCTAATTTAGCCCACAGAGAAGACAACAAAAAAAGAACACAAAGTGCTGAACTTTCAAGTGGAGAGGACAAATAACAGAAGCAAGAATAGTAACAAGCGCACAAGTATAACAGCATGCATTCTCTACTGCAACCTAGAAATAAAAGGTCACTCTTAAATATATTTTGGCTCTTTAGCGCTAACACCCCACTAAACGCTCCTCACCCATGAGCAGTGTGGCTGAAGTAAGCCGAGAGGTGTGTAATTCTCACTACCACCCCCTGACCCCACTCAGCTAATTGGCAAGTTGGGCCTTGGGAGAAAGACAGAGGGAGTGCATGTCATTTCTCTGCATGACTGATCACTTAGCTGGGAAAGAAGCTTAAAGAGGCAACAGCCTGGAGGTATTGTACTATCCTAGGCCTGACCCCATTAGAGAGGTCATGCAAGGAGAAAAAGCAAGCAGCTCGGGTATTTTTAATATTTCAACGTACTAAAATATTAGGGCCTCCAGCAGTTCTTAGTGAATACAACAAACAAGTGGAACCTTAACAGTTCAAATATTTCTTGATCATTTATTCTCACACTCAAAGAACACAGATATCATAAATCTCACTTAAAAATGCACATGGCTTAAAGGGATTCACTGACAGCCACTCACTAGAACTTAAACAGAAACAAATCTACTGCAGGAGAAAATGCTAGGGGATGACCTGTGTTCACTCACTCATCTGCCAACTCCTTCTTTTCCCTGCTCACTCTGTAATTTCTTTCTTTCTTGCGTGACTAGCTCTTGCTAGGTGAAAGGGAGGAAAGAATCAGGCTAAGCTAAATTTACAGAAAAAATGCCACATAACCTAAGCTGGAATGACTGCTTTCTGCCCTAATGGATGACAAAATGATGCATGAAACCTAGGGCCAGGTGGGAAATGTCATCTTCCCCACTGAGTTCTATACCCAGATAAACAGTTTGCGGATGTGGCCTCTCTTCACAGTGCTGATGTCAAAAGAACAAGATGTTTGAGAGAGTCATTAAAGATTGAGGAGTACAAAAGAAGCCAAAAGAATGAGGAAAGAAAGAAAGAAAGGGAAAGGGGAAATGAGACAGGCTGCGAAAGATGAAAATTTGGAAAAGGCAGAGAAAGAGACTGTCTCTTTCTACTTGGAAAAAGAGAATAAAACAGGAAAAGCTAAAGTGATGAAAAATCATTTAAAAATTCAGACTGATGAAAATGGCACTATGGAGAAGATGCACAAGGGCCTAGAGCAAAAAATACAGCAGGAGGGGGAAAAAGAGAAAGAACCGTAACGAGGAATAAAGGAACAACCTGATAAATTAACTATGTGTAAACTTTTCCCTTTGTAACATTACATAACCAAGGCTTCACAGGCAATTTTACTGTGGCCAGCACATTAGATACATGTGGAGCCTTATGTGAGGATATCGCTGCTCTGGCTCAGCTACTGTCATCATCTTCACAACAAAGTGAAGAACATGAACCTCTAAAAACTGAAGTAACATCAAACAGCAATGCTCGTTCTATGGCAGTTGGCACATTACAGATTAGATTGAGTATTCACAAAAGATGTCTTCCGTCCTCACTTCCTTTTCAAAAAGAAACTGGAATATTCTTTTGATTTTTAGAGAGCTTTGCAGTGGGGCAGATTTTTCTGCAAGTCAATTGGCCATATTTAATTGGCAAAAGTTGCAGAATAGGTGTCCTCAGAATGGAATTCTCTCTTCCATTTCACACCCTCAGAAAGTCAAGGCAACTCACCTCTTCAGATTCCCCCCCATCCAAAGGAATCCATGCCAATCTGTAAAAAGCAATATCTGAGGAGGTGGGCTTCCAGCTGACCCTAAAACTATCTGTTGATGCTTCATCAATTTCCAAATGCTGGGGAGCTGGAACTCTTTCTGCGAAATATTATGCAAAAGAAAAGTGTGAGTAAATCATTCTCTGAGACTTGCATAGATGGCAACGTCAAGCACGTACCATTTTACTTGCCGTTTGTTACAAAGAGCGTAACATGAGAGGTAGATAACAAAGGCTCTTCGGATTCTTTCCACGCTTATTTGTACTTAGGGAAGAGTTTTTGTAGTTGGGGGAGGGGAATATGCACAATACATGCTCTTTATCTACTCTAACTGGACAAGCCTCCTTGACCTCTCTCCACTAAAGGAGCTCCAAGCAACCCTCACTCCCTCTCCTTTGCTCAGAGCTCTGTGCACCATGCTCTTTTCTTTTCCTCTACCTCAAAGCAAAGACCCAATCTCTGCCCTTTCCAGAGACTGCGTGCATTTCCATTTGCAGTTTGCATGTAAGTATCACCTCTTGTTCTGTACATGTGTGTTCTCCTTCCTCTTCCACCTCATGTTTGTCTTTCTTCCCTCAAAGCCCTTCTCTTCTCATTGTCCCATGTTGGAAAGCATTAATAAGTGTCATCAGTCATTTGTTTAATGCAGAACTACAGTTACAGAAACTATAGCTGTGCTAAACGGACTACATGTCTTGTATTTTCTCCTTTTGGTGTTCCAGTTTCTCTGTATGTATATAAGGTTCTACCCTTTATTGCCTAGATAGTCCACTGGTTAAATGTATGATTCAAAACTCATCACACTTCAGCTGGAGAGACAAATGCCATCACACTGAATGATGCTTCAGAAAGCTGGGGAGACAAACGCTTTACTACCTAATTGCAATAAAAGATGCTTTAAAATGGCTGATTGTGGAAAGACTTAAGAAATGAACCTTATCCACACAAATGTTTTCATGATGTGAAGAGATTACTCCCATGAGTAAGGATGCTATTGGCCCCATAATAAGGGAGCAAAGAAGCCGAAAACTCCAATGAAAATAACAGAAAGCATTCCATATATCTGAATTCACAACCAGAGACACTTGCTATTACTGGTCTTACTTTCCAGTAAAGTAAGAGAGTATAAAAATCCTTCTTGGAAAGCCTTCAAAAGTTCGGCAATACTTACTTGTGGTAAAGCTGCCAGTAAGTGGTTCAGATTGTCCTTCATCATACAGGGAGAAAATAGCAACAGTATACTCTGTAAGGGATGTCAGACTTTTCAGAGTATGGGTTGAAACACGACCAACTTCCACCTAGAGAAAGCATAATTTGCAACAGATATTGATCATACACTTTACATTATCAGTGTCTGAAATTCTGCTTGGTAATAATGATACAGAAAGAGAATGTCATGTAATTAGTAGAGAAATTCTGTGAAACTATGAATAAGTATCAATTCAGGGCCATAAAAGCGGACAAAATCAATTAACATAGACAAACTAGAGAAAAGGAAAATTTTGTTTATGACAAACTAGGGAGAAGGAGAATTCAGCCTTAGCAAGCCTAATTCACTAGCTAACATTTTTGGGCTATTGAATCCAGTCCCTTATCACGGATAATCATTGCATAAACCATTATGTTTAACATTTATCAAAAGAAAAGATGACAGTTTCATCTGGTCTCTATCCAGGCTGCAGTTAACATGACTTTGCCGGGGTTATAAAACTCAAAGCTGTATAAACTGTCCAACTATTCAGTGTCACATTAGCTCGGCACCACAGGAGAAATGCTACCGATGCAAAGCAAACAAAAAGGTGCCACCTGCTCTTTGAACAGCCATAAAGGAAAAGTTAAGAGGTAGGTAAAAACCTACTGAACAATTCACTCGCATTATGAAGTATATTACCACAAGCCTGAGATGTTCAAATACCATTGTGATGAGTACAGCCAGACGAATTATCTATATTAAGGGTAATCAACAGGAAGAGGTCAAATGATTTCTAATTTAAATTTTAAGGGACCTAGCAGAAAGAAAAGACACGAAACATTGCACAGGTATGCTCTCTTTTAAACTCGGGAACAGTTTCTTCAGGTTTAATACAAATATTCCATCCTGTATGGATGAAAGGCCAGCTATGTCCCAGAAGAAACATAATTACACATAATTACACATAATTACACATAGCTACTATTAAAGACTTTTTTGGAGGGCTAAGTTATCCATGACAACGTATTTTATAAGGGGTCTGGCCTGTTCTAATAATCGGACCCATTTACTGCAATTATTTTTTTAAAACTTCTTCTGTATTTTTTCAAATTTCTGTATTAAAATCATTCCATCTCATTTTTCATTCTAACACAGAATTCATGCTGCTAAAAGCTATTACAAAGCACCTTTAGGAACAAGACATAACTAAATACTAAATAACAAGGCATAAGTAAATTATTAAATGCAACAGTCTAAGTTAGAACACCTTGGTATCATCTTACCATTCTGTTCAAGCCAAATCCTGTTTCTAGGAAGCGAATTTTCAATATATAATTAAAGCAATAAATGTTAAGAAAATGTGGCAAAGCCTTCAGATAGTCTTTTTGAATGAGCTTCAGTTCATGATGTATGATATATTGATAGACTTGTTATCTGGACTGAATCAAGAATAAATATTTCCATACCATACATTTAGTCAAGTACCTGCACCTACAAACCATTGTTCATTTGAGTAGTTTCCTTCAGTTTATGTGCGCCAGCAGTGACTGTTTGCTGTGTAAGAAGTTCAGAGTACTGTCCGCCCCACATATGATCCACTCCAAATGTATACCCAATACTAAGCAAACTCTTACTTGCAGTAAGTTTCAGAATTCTCTAGCAAATCTTTTGTTATAGCTTGCAAGGTAGCTTTTGTTTATAAAAGTTGCCCTTAATAATTACAGAAGTTTGGGGAGGTCTGAGACTGGTTAAGGGAAGAGAGATGCTCATAATTTACCTCATTGGTTTCCATTCCATCTGTTTTAACGTATATGATGCGATAGCCATTTACATTTTTGGAAGCAGGATCCCATGTTAGTTTAGCACTACTGTGTCCAACATCGGAAAATTGCAAGTTTGCTGGTGGACTTAGAGGCACTTGAAAAGGAAAGAGATAAAACCATGAAAGTGATTCCAGGTTTTAGCTATGAAATTTTTCATGTCTTGAAAATAAACAGCACATTTTCCATTCAAAAATTTATATCACCAATATTTATATTAAAAGACCTATGTCAATGGAGCTACACAAATACTTAAAGGCAGGTAAAATGGCTTAGCTCTTTGCTGAAACAGAACTTCCAGTCTTGCTAAGTACATCTCAACTAATACTGAAAAAGAAAGAAATTACATTATTGTGCATAGCTGATATTATAGCAAGATCTAACCTACACAATACTTGCAATAAATTTGTGTTTGTATTTGTAATTTAATTCAACTAGATCTTTATAGAATCATAGAATCATAGAAT